AGGAAATACGTAATCCTATTTAACAAATATTTAACTCATCAGCTACAACAGGTATTGTACCTGATTTGCTTAAAATCTCAAAAATTATACCAATCTATAAATCAGGGGAAGCCAACTTTTTAAACAATTGTAGACCTATTTCAATCCTTCCGGTATTCGCAAAACTTCTTTAGCGAATTATCTAGAATAAATTAAATAAATATTTAAAAACTAATAAAATTATTAATAAAGGTCAATACGGTTTCCAAAAGCGACACGCAACAGAGCATGCAATCCTTGATCTCTCAAATAGGATTAGTAAATCATTTAAACAAAAAAAATTCACGTTAGGAATCTTTATTGATTTGTCAAAGGCGTTTGACACCGTCAACCATGAGATTTTACTGACAAAAATGGAAAATTATGGCGTTAAAAATAAAGTTTTAACTTGGTTTAAAAACTACCTTAATGACAGACACCAGTGTGTTATTATAGATAAAAAAAGCAACTCGAATTTACTGAAAACAAAATGTGGTGTACCCCAAGGGTCCATTCTTACTCGTCTTTTGTTTCTTATTTACATAAACGATCTCCCAAATGCCTCTAATATTTTCGAAACTATAATGTTTGCCGATGATACAAACTTATTTTACTCATCAAAGAATATTGAAGACTTATTTAAAAAACAAATAATGAACTAAAAAAAATTAATATATGGTTAAAATCAAACAAACTATCACTCAATAAAGATAAAACTAAATATATTCTATTCCACTTTACTCAACAAATTAAAAAACTTCCCCTTAACCTACCAACAACTAATATAGAAAATATAATCATCTAAAGAGCTTAAAATACAAAGTTTTTAGGTGTTCTAATTGATGAACACATTTCTTGGAAGCCCCACATCAACTATATAAATACAAAAATATCAAAGAACATAGGTTTACTTTACAATGCAAAATCTTTCTTGACACAAAAAAGTCTAATACTCGTTTATTTTTCATTCATACATAGCTATCTTATGTATGCCAATATACCATGGGGCAGTACCCACATAACTAAATTAAAACCGCTTTATCTGGGTCAAAAGCACGCTTCAAGACTGATGTTCAACAGAAACAAACTTACTCATGCTCAACCCCTACTGGAGCAAATGAACGCTTTAAATATTTTTCAAATTAATATTTATCAAAATATACTTTTCATGTTTAAATATAAACTAAGTCTGGTTCCAGAACATTTTACAGCACACTTTTTTGAAAACAACGTTAACAAGTACAATACAAGAGCAACGGGAAACATTAAGATACCCTTTGAAAAAACTAAACTCTCAAAATTTTCAATAAAATATTGTGGTCCCTTTTTATTTAACAAAATAATTTCTAGAAACGAATCGCTGATAAATTTAAACAACGAACAGTCCCTGAAAACAAAGTTAAAATCTACAATAATCAAGTTAAACAACTACAAAGAGTTTTTTTAAACTCCAATTTAAAATTTAAAAATAAAAATAATATAAAACAACCCTAATAAAACAAAAAATGTAACTTTTCAAAGAAAACGATAAAAATAATACTAAAAGGAGATAGTAACATTAATAATTTTAAGGCATATATGTACCTCATACATATTTACCACGTATGCAACTGATTTTTATGTGATTTACACGTCTAGAAGGTACTCGATGACAAGACTGACCCCAGTCTTCTGCGAGCTTCCTATAACTACAAACAATTAATTATTTTCTTCAATCTTATACAAATCTTGTTTTTATCATTCTTTTATATATATATATATTGTTTTAATTGAAAGAATATAGAAGGTTTATTTCTTGGGTAATTTTTACGTTTACGTTATTCTATTCTGTACTTTGTATTTATTTTTATCATGTCTCAAAGTTGAATGTAACAATATTTTAGATTTATCCCTTATTTATTTTGGATTTTACGTTTACGATATTTATATTTGTATATCTTTATTCGCCAATCGGTGATTGGTCAATTGTAAATACTTTGTAATTGTAAAATAAACATGTTAGGAGAAAAAAAAAAAAAAAAAGTTAATAAAAATAAATTTAAAAATTGAGGCACGAATAATTTTTTTATCACAAAAAAAAAACTTATAAAGGAATGGAAACGAAACCGCACATTTTTCATTTTGTAGCTTGTATTTAAAACAACATTTTTTTTGTTTAAAAATTGGTAATATTGTTTTCTATGCATAATTTTTTTTTTTCCTTAAAAAGATAATGATGTTACGGTTAGGATGATTGCTGATAGATATTATTCTAATGACGTAACCTTCTTTGGGATGCTTTTTGCAACGCGTGTATATTTTGCAATACTTTAGAAAAAGTGCTTGGTAGCAAAGTTGTTTACAAGGCCAAAAGTAGCATGGCCAAGGCCGAAAGTTACAAAGTCAAGGAAAAGGCCAAGAGTTTTAAGGTCAAGGCCAAGAATAAGAATTTTAAGACTAAGGGTACGTAAACATTTTCAAGGCCAAAGACTTAAACTTTTGCTTAACATTAAGACCAATTATTATCAAAGCTCTAGGTATCAATTGCTGTGACAATAAACCACCTGTTATAAAAATAAACCAAGGTTATGCGCAAAATTTTACGAAGTCAATAAGAAAAAATACTTGTAGATATATAGGGGAAAACGGGGCAACATGGCGAACGTTTTGAAAGCCCTGAGTTATTGAAAAACTATAAGTCGTGAAGCCATAATACTTTCTCAGTATGTTTATGCTATTAAGTTCTTTCATTGCCTGCATGAATTTTCAGTTTGCAAATATAACAACTTGAAATAAATATTAAAATGAAAAGATCATAAATTTGTCATCTGGTCACGTGACCGGGGCAAGATGACTTATGCAATTTTTACCTCCAATTTTATAAAATTTTAAAAACTGCCAATAACTCTAACTAAAGTAACAAAAAATAAACACAAATTGCAAAAACTACTTCTAAAAAAGTTAAACTTGAAGGACACCAACCATTATGAGAAACAGAAAGTAAGGAATTTTAAGCGCAAAAAGTAAACTTATTTGTATAAAATGGCGTTAATAATATTTCAAAAAACCAATTGGTGTTTTAAATTACAAAATGAAAATACAGTTTCATTTTCACCCAATTTTAAAATATTTTGTTGAGTTGTTATATGAAAACCCATCTTGCCCCATTCGCCATGTTGCCCCGCTTTTCCCTATAAAAGCACCCTATAAAAGCACTAAAAGTTTATTGTTAAAGAATCACTAATAAGATTCCAAGGCATCATACTAAGTTATTTAAAAAGTAAATATTTCAAAGAGTTGGTTTGTAACAACAGCAATAGATACTTTTTGAATGATGTCACGGCATAATTAACGCTCAAGCTGCGCCATGTTGTAGGTCAAATAAAGGTAACGAAATAAGCGTTTATTTCCTAACTTTCTGGTAAAGTGTGGTTTTATAGAAACTAAAGTTAGAAGTCTATTATTTTTATCTTATGGCTGTACCGTATATAATTTTTCCAAATCCGGCCGGAGCTGGATTCGCTGGATTTCTACTAACAGATCCGGCCGGAATTGGAACCGGATTTCGAAACAAACTTACAGGAGCCAAAATCTTGTACTTCCCTACTTGGTGTTGAAAATGGTCAACAATGTGGACTATTCAGAATATCAAGTGGCAACTGTTTTCTGTTGAACTTCATTATTGTTATCAAAAAAGTTTTATAGCAATTTCTGTAGAAACTTAGACATTCTATAGAAATTCTATAGGCCATATGTTTCAAAAGTTTAAAGAAATTCCATTGAACTTTTTTTGGGGGATGTTGTCACTATGCAACTGTAGTGGAACAATGTGTCTATTTATTTCTGGTTTTATCATATATTGGCTTAGCTGAGTGTCAATGCCTTTTAATAATTGTTGTTCATGTGTTGTTCTACCAGCGGATGTAGACTGAATTATTTTATCAATAAATTGCTAGAGTAATGATGATGTATAAAAATTATCCAGCCTGGCTAATTTTGCTGGATTTTCTTCAGTTTTGTCAATCTTCTGCTCAATATGTTTAGATTGACTTCAATCTTGCTTTTTTAGCTGTCAGTGTTCCTTGTAATGAGGAGAATTTAATTTTAAATTGTGGATCAACCAGTGTCGTTACTATATAAAGAGTTTTCTCTTTTTAATACTTTTAAACGTTTGTCCAATGACTTAATTAGGATTGACATCAAAGTCTTAACACCTGCATCATTGTAGAATATCGTGTGTCTTCCCTTCATAATTTTTTGTTGCGTTGTTGTTTGAAATTAGGCTAAGCTTATTTAATTGTAAAGAAATATAAATACATATATAAAAAAACATGAAGTTCATAAAATATAGAACAAAAAAAAATTGATTTGTATAAATAAAATGTTAAGTATCCATGTAAACACGGCCAAAAAAATGCAATAAATATTTGACCAAAATGCAAAACTCCGGCTTAAATTATGCCGGACTTGCTAATTTTTTGCCGGAGGCAGATTTAGGCCGGATTTGTAAAAATGGCCGGATTTCGGTCGGAGCAGAAGCTGGAGCCGAAATCCGGTACAGCCCTAATACATATATATAGATTTAATAAAGTTTTAATTAAATTGATTCGTTTAAATATTAGTGAAAAGCGCTACCCAGGTAACACACCCTATTGGGTAAACATTGGGACCCAATTGGTACGGCAATTGGGTCCCACTAGGTTATCCCAACGGTTTTTGGCATTGGTTTCCGGATGGGAACCAATCGGTCAACCCAATTGGAAACACCAATTAGGCCCCAGTTAAATCCCTATCGTTTTTTTATTATTAAACCTATATATGTTATGTGCAAGTGCCGGTTAGAATTGTCAAAACAAGACATTTATATATATATATATATATATATATATATATATATATATATATATATATATTATATATATATATATATATATATATATATATATATATATATATATATATATATATATATATATATATATATATATATATATATACACAACTGCTAGTAGTTAGTAGACCACCAAAAAAAAGTTACTTAACATAAAGTAACTGAAACATTATCAACTTGTTAAACCCACGTTTGCCTTGACGCGATACACCTGTTAAATTGTAATGCTTCGCCAAAGCTGAGTCAAACAGCAACTTCATATTTCGTTTAATGAAATCACCTATATCACTTCCCCCATTTTCGATAAAAACTTTTGTCTAAATAACAACCAATATATTACAAATTTCAACATTTTACCAACATTTTACAAATAATCAGCAAAGAACCAAATCGCTGTATGTCCAAAATATGTGTTTTCTGTTTTTTATCAAAAAATATTCAACTGAATCTAGTCATAAGAATAATAGAAATTTCAGTAAAATTTAAATAATTAGTCTGACTTTCTGGCAGAAAAACTCTGAAACACTAATAAATGGAGGTATGCCCTCATGCTTACAAAATCTAAAAACAGAACATAAATCTAAAAAGGAAACATATAATAAAAAAAGAACCAAAATTTTTTGAACTGATTCGTCTTTCAGCAATACTTCAGCATTATCAACATCAGCAAATGAATGGAGTGGTAAAGTAAGACCGGCAGGTAGTTGTTGTATAGTAATTCCGGAATCTACACTCTGCTGTTTTTGCAGAGAAATTATCATTGCAGAATGTAACTTTTGAGTTTGCTTAACCTCTTCCAATGATGCAAGAATTTTACTTAAAAGTTTCATAACAACATTATTTGATGGGTCTGACCTAAAACAATAACAAAATATTGTATTATTAACTAAAGTATTTTCCTTATAACTGTTATTTCAAAATAAAAACAGGTTGAATGCATCATTAATAATTAAAAATCTAAGAATTATATACATAAGGTGTCTGCCAGGATATTAATGCAGATGTCAATGAATTTTTAACCTGATTCTTAACCTGTTTTTCTTGATTTGCATTTCAGTTAAATTATCAGTTTATTATTCAGTTATATCCAGCAGAGACCTTTTTCCAATTTATATTGGCTATACGTGCATTATAATTATAATAATAATCTACAATATAATTGCTAGAAGTCAATGTTCAATGTCGCGTTACGTCATCGTTTAATGCTTTTTCAAATAGATTCTAGGCTTTTTTTAGAGCGCGTTTTTTAAGTACATGCGGTCTACCCAAAAGGTCTACCGAGCCAGACCTGACGAACTTCTCTTAACTTTTTATGGAAATCATTTTTATATAGTTTCAATTTACATGTTTACTTAAGTTGAATTTTACAATATTTTATTTTAGAACGTTATTATGTTGTTATAAAAAGAAGAGTTGTAAAGTAAAAATCTTATTTTTACTTTATTTTTAATATTTTATTTAATTTTATTAATTTAATTATATTGTAGATTATAGATTAGCAAAAAAGAAAAATGAACGGTAAAGTTTTTATTTTAATCTTTTCCAAAACATTTTATTTGTTTAACATCAAAGGAGTCTAATTGTAAGGAAAAATTTAAACTATGTGAAAACTATTTGAACGATTTAAAAGATAAATAAGACTTATTAATAATCATAATAATAATAATTTAAGTTACATTTTAAATACATTATCAAGTATATAGATTAATAATTTTTTTTTCTGTTAATTTAATGTGTTACTTTGATTTTTTGTTTTTTTTTGGTTTACTATAATTTATTATTTTTTCATTTATATTTTGATTTATATTATTATTATTATAAATAATATTTATTTCTATTTAGTTAACCACGGAGATGAAACTGAAGGTAAGTGTTGATTTTTTAAATATTTAAGTAGAATTTAAAATATTAGTAGTATATAGTAGAGTATTTTTGGAATTGAATTTTCATTTAGTTGACAATGATGGGGAAGATGAAAGTAAGTTTAAAATTTTGTAACTATTTTAGTAGAACTAAATATATATGTTAATGATAACTTTTGTCTAAAACAAGATGTTAATTGTATATATAATTTGTTTAGTTTATCATAAGCGACCTGATAAAGGTATAATCGTTAGTTAGCCAATTAGCAATTAACTTTGTTTTTAAAAATATTGAATTTTTATAATATATGTCTTTAAAAGATTTTAATAAAAGTGTATTTAAATTTATTGTTTAGACAAAGCACTAAAGAAATACAGTCAGTATTTTTGTCATTAAATATTTGTTATTAGGATTTAATAATTTGTACTGTTTACTTTTAACTTGCTTTTTACTTTATAGAAAAATTGAAACTTAGACTAGGTATAAATTATTATATAATTTTACCAATTGATAATTTATATATATATATAAATATATATATATATATATATATATATATATATATATATATATATATATATATATATATATATATATATATATATATATATATATATATGTATATATATATATATATATATATATATATATATATATATATATATATATATATATATAGTATATATATATATATATATATATATATATATATATATATATATATATATATATATATATATATATATATATATATATATATATATATACACACACATACACACACACACAAACACACACAGAGTAGTGATAGAGCCTTAAATTTAACTCAATATTGTCAATTTATCCTAATTTAAAGATATTTTTTCAAATTACTGATTTGATTGATTTTTTTTTTTTTGATGTCTTTTTTATAAAATTTTCAAGTTTTTTTTTATTTAGATGATTATATGGATGAAATAAGGAAAACAGGTAAAATTATATTTAGATACATACATACTTTTTATTATTAACTATTATATGTTTTATAATTTTTAACATTAATTTTTTTTTAAGTGTCATTATTAGTGTCTAACACTGTGACAACTGGTAGGGTTATGCTTTTCATTTTATTGCAATCATATTGTAGATTATTAAAATACAAATATTACATTTGTTTTTTTTTGGTTGTTTTTTTTTTTTCTATTCTACTCTTCTTTTTTTTCCCTCTTTTTTTCAGCATCGTTCTCTAGTACTACTTCAACATGTAGGGTTATACTTTATATTTAAATAAAATACAAGTATCAACATGTTTAGTTTATATTTTTTCCATTTTTTTTAGCATCATCATCTGATATGACTGCAACTGGTAGGGTTATGCTTGATAATTTTATTTAAGTACAAAAATTAACATGTTCAGTTTTTATTTTACCCTACTTTTATTTTATTTTCTATTTTTTAGCAGTGACATCTTTTACTACTACAATTGGTAAGGGTATGCTTTATATTTAGATTAAAATATCAACCTGTTTGGTTTTTATTTTATTCTACTTTTTTTTCTCTCCTCCATTTCTTTAGCCTCACCATCTGATACTACTACAACTGGTTGGGTTATGCTTTATATTTTTATAAAAATGCAAATATTAAGATGTTCAGTTTTTACTTTATCTAACTTTTATTTTATTTTCCCTTTCTTTAGCATTGACATCTGGTAGTACTACTACAATTGGTAGGGTTATGCTTGATATTTTTATTAGTGTACAAAAAGTAAGATGTTCAGTTTTTATTTATCCTACTCTTTTACCCTACTTTCATTTTATTTTTTATTTCTTCAGCGCTGACATCTGGTACTACTACAATTGGTAAGGTTATGCTTTATTTTTTAATCGAAATACAAACATCGACATGTTCAGTTTTTATTTTATTTTTTCCATTTTTTTAGCATCGTCATCTGGTACTACTACAATTGGTAGGATTATGCTTTATATTTTTATGCGTTTTTTTTCAAATTGCAATTTTATTCAAAATACAAATATGAACATGTTTGGTTTTTATTTTATTTTTTCCATTTCTTTAGCATCGTCATCTGGTACTAGAAAAGTTGGTAGGATTATGTTTTATATTTTTATTCTCAAAGAAATAAATACATAATTTTAATTTTGTTTGTTTTTATTTTTTTAGTATTTGTTTAGACTATTATTTTAATTTTTGGTTCACAATATAACATGTCTGTTATTGTCCCCAATATATACCATATCAGTTAAATCAGAAAAATGTACTATAGTAGATAATTAACTGTAAAAAAAACCACATGTAAATTTCTAATATTTTAAAGTTTATAATTTGTTGATTTTTACCAGATTTTATTTCTTTTCATTGTTTCGAATTTAATAATTTAGTGTTTATAACTGCTTTTAACTTATGTAAAGCTTTAATAAATTTAATCTTCTAATTTTTATCTAATATAGATATTTTAATATGTAAAATAGATAGTCTTAGTAATGAAGAAAAAAAAAAGTAAGTAATAAGAAAAAAGAAAAACAGATAAATAATCTTTTATATATTGAATTTGAATTTTGTCATGTTGCTTATTATATTATTGACATTTCAGTGATGCTGTTAGATTTTTGTTCTTTTCTTTAGAATTTAGAAAATTAAATTAAACTACAACTTTTGAACAGTCATTTCATTGTTTGTGAAGGTTAAATTATTTTAATTTTTTTTAATTTTTCTATAGAAATAATTTGATGTTTACAAAAAGGATTTACAAAAACTTTATTTTTTAATTTTTTCTTCTATTTTTTGTTTAAGCAGCACTTTTATTATTAAAATTTTTATTATTCATTATTTTTTAATACTATTCGTTAATTTTTTTATTTAGATTATTATTATAAGTTAATTTTTTGTTTAAACATCTCTTACCAGATATATTTATGAAATTTTTTTTATAATAAATGCACAAGATTGTTGTATAATTTAGTTTATTTTAAATAAAAATTTCTTGTCATTTTTTAAAAACAATTTGTATGTGCAATTTAGAGTAAAAAAAGATCACAATCTTCTGGATTCAAGTTTTTTTGTTACTATTATCAATTAAAAGTAAAATTTAAATGGATGAAAATGATGAAAATGTTAATAGGCAAGTTGAAAATAATCATCGCAGAAATGCCAGAAATAGGCTGAGGCGAGATAAAATTAATCATCTTCAAAATATTAGATATGCTGCTCGGCAAGCTGCAAATAATTTGAATCAAAATGAGGACAATATGATTAGGCAAGTTGAAAATAATCGTTGCAGAAATGCAAGAAATAGGCTGAGGCGAGATGAAATTAATAATCAACAGAATGCTAGATATGCTGGTAGACATGAAAGAATGCATTGTATAGCAAGAAGTAATACTATTCCAGATTATAATTATTTAGGAGAAATGAATCATATTTGTCAGCATTGTGGTGCTAAAAAATTTCCTGATGAAACACATTTTTTATGTTGCCATAATGGAAAGGTAGTTTTGTCTCAACTTTCACCATTCCCGCAAGATTTACAAGATTTATTTACAGGAAGTTATGTAGATCAAAATGCCAATGTGAATTTTCTAAAATATATTCGAAAGTATAATGCCTGTCTTTCTTTTGCTTCATTTACCGCTAATGTAGTTCAACCCATGAATCATGGGCCGCCATGTTTTAGAATATGTGGTCAGGTTTTTCATCGTGTTGGTAATCTTAGGCCAGATCAAGATATTCCTCCAACATATATTCAACTATACATTTATGATCCACTTGCAGCAATAAATTTTAGAATGTGACAACCTGGTAATGATCTTTGCTTAAATGATTTAATGTTTCGGTTGCAAACTGTTATTAGTGAGGAGAACCCATTTGCTCTCGCATTTAAAAACATGGCTGAATTGAAAGATGAAGAAATTCGCCAAGCAGCTATAGAAGGTCGCTCAGTCTCAGTTGTAAAAATGTCTTTACTTAAAGGGCAAGATAGACGTCGCTATAATCTCCCTTCACATAATGAAATTGCAGTTGTATTTGTTGGTGAAGATGGTGCTCCTCCTGCTTCCAGAGAAGTTATTTACCCGAGAGGTCATCCTCTTAAAACTATATCAAGTATGTCTGCCAACTTAGATCCTATGGTTTATCCTCTATTTTTCCCAAGGGGTAATGCTGTTTGCATAATCAATTGGTTCACAACCCTGAACGTGCTACATTGGTTAGAAATCATGTTACATTATCTCAGTATTACAATTATAGACTTTCGGTTAGACAAATTTTTTCTTCAATCTTTTATGGCAAGAAACTATTTCAGCAATATGCTGTTGATGCATATGTCAAAATTGAAGGCCAGCGCCTTGCTTTTATCAGAAATAACCAAAACAAACTTAGAAGCGAGCAGTATGATGCCTTACATGAACATGTAGACAACCTTGGAAACGATCGTAATGTTAGACCAGGGCGCATTGTAGTTTTGCCATCTACTTATGTAGGAAGTCCTAGAGCTTTAAAAGAAAACTTTGAAGATGCTATGGCTATAATTAAAAAGTATGGTAAACCAGATCTTTTTATTACTTTTACCTGCAACCCAAAATGGCGAGAGATAACTGAAAATTTATATCCAGGACAAACTGCAAATGATAGACCTGATTTAGTTACACGAGTATTTAAACTCAAATTAAATAATCTCCTAAATGATATTTTTAAGCATGGTGTGTTAGGGAAAGTCGTAACTCATGTGCATGTTATCGAATTTCAAAAGCGTGGTTTACCACATGTTCATATTTTACTTCACTTTGCAACTGATGACAAGCTGGAGACAGCACAGGATATCAATAGTTTAATATGTACAGAAATTCCAGATCCAATTATAAATCGTGAACTTTATGATGTTATTAAAACTTGCATGATTCATGGCCCATGTGGCATACTGAATCCAAATTCTACCTGCATGAAAGATGGGGTGTGCAGCAAAAATTATCCTAAACAATTTAATGCCAACACAGTAGTAGTTCATAATGGTTATCCTCGCTATAGGCGTCGTGATAACGGTTTGGTTATCAATAATAAAGGCAACAATGTAGATAACCGCTGGGTGGTATATTACAATCCATGGTTATCAAAGAAATCTGTGTCTAATGTCTGTTAAGGCTGTTAAATATTTGCACAAATACATATACAAGGGTCACGACTGTGCCAATATTTTGATAAATGATCAAAATAATCATGATGAAGTAAACACTTTTTTAGACTGTCATTATGTTAGTGCACCAGAAGCATTGTGGCGAATTTTTGAGTATCCCATAAGTCATATGTCACACATAGAGATGTGACGCGTTTTTTAGTTCTTGTTTTTTTGGTTTTTTTGGTCGTTTTTTTGGAAAAAAAACATAGGGGTCCGTTTTTTTGGTTTTTTTGGGAAATAATCAAAAATTCATTGTTTAAGTTACTAAATTTAACTTTAATGGCAATATCTTAATTCATATTTTAATTTCTGATTTAAATAGGACAATAAATACTGAAATTTACTGAATTAATTTTTGTTTTGGTATATTAACACGGTTAAAGGTTATCACGGTTGAAGCAGTCTTGTATAAAAACTTCTTTGATAATTTTATCTTCCTCAACTTTATCTTTACTGTTTTTAGTGTATATTGACACAATAAACATTTATTTACATTTATTATATTTAACAAAATTTAACAACTAATGAATGAGACTTAGCATAATAAAGAGTTGAAAATGAGTTTTTGTTAATGGAATTCTTTTGCCATAAGATAATGTCTAAAAATTGAACTTAAAAAACAGAGCATATTAAAGAATTTTGCAAGTGTTGTGATATAGTGCCATATGAAAATATTTAGATGAATAAATGTAATAAGAAAAAAAAAATGCTGTTAAAAAATTAATTACAAATAAATAAATTACAAATCATCAGGTGAATGGGGTCTGGGAATTTCCGTAAATAATAATAATTAAAAAGTTTTTAAATTTTCCTTGAAACTAAGTTCAGTATAGGGCTTTTTTTTAATGGGCATACTAGCAATAACTCTTTTTTTGATATAACAAACAAACAATGTAAGACTTAATTACTACATAATATACAAATGCTTAATTAAGTTAATAATCTTGATAGATAGCTTATTTTTTTGATCATTTTAAGTCTGATATCAAATTTGCATGGTGTTATACATTAATGTATTTACATTATCAAAATTAAATTGGTAACTTTTTTATAGAATAAGAATAGTTTTTATATATAATGAGAGTATCACAGTTGTTAGTACAATAAAACAGAAAATAAACATTTTCATACAGTATACCTAAATATTTAACTAACTTAAAGCTAATTTAAATTTTTCATAAAATTTTTTTGTTAAACTGGTGTTTATACATCTAATTGTGCCTTTAATGGCCAAATACTAAAATTTATACTAGATTAAAGGAAAACTAGTCCTAAATTTATGTAAAAAAAAAACTGAAAAATTGTTTAAAAAAAGCAATACAACACCAAAAAAACCAAAAAAACACCAAAAAAAACAAAAAAACATCAAAAAAAACAAAAAAACACGTTTTTTTAACCCTAAAAAACGCCAAAGGAAAAAAACGCGTTTTTTTGCAACTCTAGTCACACACTATTATCCGCCTTAAAGTTAATCTTCCTGAGAATCAATTAGTGTATTTTAGAGAAGGAGCAGAACAAATGGCTTTAGATCGTGCAGCTCAACGTGATACACACCTTACATCATGGTTTAAGTTAAATTCTGAAAATGAAAGAGCACATTGCTATTAATATGTAGACATTCGTTATCATTTTATATTTGATGATAAGCTTTGTAAATGGAAGGTTAGACAAGGAGGTGGTAATAAGGTGATAGTAAGAATGTATAAAGTTAATCCAACTGGAGAATTATTTTTCTTAGGCTGTTACTTTTGCATGCAAAAGGAGCCAAGTCTTGGGTGGATGTGCGTACTGTTAATGGTATTGTTGTTGAAACATTTCGTGAAGCATGCTTTTTAAATGGTTTGTTACAAGATGACACTGAATGGCAGAATGCACTTTCTGAGGCAGTTTTAACACGTATGCCAAAGCAAATTAGACAGTTATTTGCAATTATTTTGACTTTTTGTGAACCAGACAATCCTTTGCATCTTTGGAATACATACAAAGCATTTATGATTGAGGACTTTATTCACCGCTCAGTCCCGCTTATAATAGCTGAACAAGCTGCTCTTTGTCAAGTTGAAAAGATTATTAATCAGTGTGGTAAAACGCTGGCTGATTATAATCTGCCTGTTATTGAGTTAGATTTTAATCTAGATAATCTAGAAAATTTCAATCAAAATGTTCAACAATCAATTGATGAAGCCAATAGAATAAGACCACTGCTCAATATCAATCAATCCTATTCTTGCTGCATTGAATGAACAACCAAGTGTAAAAAATCAGTATTCTCGATTGTTTTTCATGGATGGACCGGCTGGTAGTGGAAAAACGTTTACATATAATTATTTGATTGCTGAAACCAGAAGTAGAGGTATTAAATCTGCTACAGCTGCATGGACTGGCATAGCAGTAACTCTTCTTACAAATGGATCTACATTGCATGGCTTATTCAAACTTCCTGTTCCAATATTAGATAACAGCACATGTAATGTAACTCCAAACTCTATACATGGACACTTTTTAAGTCAGGCTAGTTTGTTTTTGCTTGATGAAACATCCATGATACCCAAACATGCATTGAATGCAATTGATAGGTTATTAAAAGATGTTTGCAACAACAACTTTCCATTTGAAGGAAAAGTCATTCTTTTTGGAGGCGACTTTAGACAAATACTGCCTGTTGTGAAAAGAGAACAACCAGCTGAAGTCGTAGAAGCATGTATAAAATGTTCTTTACATTGGCAATGGGTGCAGAAGTTTAAGTTAACAGAAAGTATGAGAGTACATGATGGGGAAAGGGAATTTTCAAATTGGCTGTTGAGACTTGGTAGTGGAACTGTATTTGTCTAAGAGGATGATCCTTTTAAAGGGTGCATTGAAATACCGCATTAATGCCTTATTAGGGAAAATGACTCCATTGTTGAAAAGATATTTGGAGATGCCGAACAAGACGGTTATGCTAAACGTGTCATTTTGACACCAACTAATGTGGATTCACTATCAATCAATGAGGAAGTGCTTCAACGTCTACCGGGTGAGGTCAAAACTTATTTAAGTGCTGATCAAGTTGAGACTGACAATCTTAATGAAAGAAATAACTTTCCTGTTGAGTTTTTAAATAGCTTAATTCCCTCAGGTATGCCTCCTCATTCTTTAAAGTTTAAAATTGGTTGTATAATTATGTTTCTTAAAAATTTAGATTTCAAAGCTGGGTTATGCAATGGCACTCGAATGAAAGTTTGTGCTCTTCAAAATAATTATATTGATGCAGAGGTTTTGACAGGTGTTTCTGCTGGTAAACGGGTATTTGTACCTCGAATTCATTTGGCTCCGTCAGATTCTAATTTACCTTTTGTTCTAAAACGTCGCCAGTTTCCTGTCAGATTGGCATATTCAATGACAATTAATAAAAGTCAAGGTCAAACATTTGATAGAGTTGGTGTATATCTAAAGAAACCGTGTTTCACTCATGGTTAACTTTATGTTGCATGTTCAAGAACTAGAGCTTTTAATAGTTTATTTTTTAAAATTGATAAACATCCCATTCAAGGTATGATAGGTGAAAAGTCTTACACAAATAATGTTGTATTTTCTAATGTTCTTAATTTATAATTATGAGATTTTTGTTATAATTTTCACTTTTTTTCATAGTTTTATTTTATATTGTTTTAGTAATTATATTTGTCTTTATACATGTTTGTAATTGTTATATGTGTTATGTAAGTGTTATATTTATTTTATGTGTTAGTTGTTATTTAAATTGTTCATGTAATACTTGGGCTATATGTGTTATCAAGGTTATGTGTTTAGGGTTTGTGTATATGTGTTTATAGTTTGTGTATATATGTTTATATTACGTTGTTTCCATGTTTTCAAAGTGGTGTGACTTGGCAAACGTGTCGAGCAAGATAGTTAACCTTGCCAGCCAAGCGGTGTACCTAAAGCAGAGGTGTGACTTGGCAGCGTTTAGTGCCAAGTGGTGTTACTGCTTTGTTGTGGCTAGGTTGTGTTGTCTAGCCTTTTTTAATTATTCTGGAAACACGTAATGTCTATTAATATTAAGCATCATATGTACATACAAATATGTAATGTGTTAAATGTGTTAATATATTTTATAATGTTATATCGTCACGATCATAGCACAATTGCCTAAGTCATTTTTTGGGGGGTTTTCGGAAGTTAAGAGTTGAAATATATAGCTTAAACAGTCTAATAATGTGGCAAATCGCCTTAAACCAATCAGAAAGGAGTTGATTTTTAACTTTTTCACTTCTGCTTAAATCCGCATTTTTACTTATATCTTATTGCTTTTGACCTATATCCTATTGTGTCTCAACGGAAATACACAAGCATCTAAGTAAAAAGATGCCAAAAATAAACCAAAGTGACGTAGCAAAAGAAATACTGAAGTTATTCATTTTTTTTTAGTTTTCTCAAAACAAGAAAAAAATGACTTAGACGATTGTGCTATGATCGTGACGATATGTTTATAGTTTGTTTCTTTGTCTATTTTATGCAGTGGTTTCAAAGTGGTTTGACTTTGCCATTGTATAGAGCAAGTGTAATGTGTACTTATAAATATCTTATGTGTTTTTGTTGTGCGTTATCGTTGTAACATTGTGGTGATGATTTGTGTTGATAGACAGTTGGCTTACCTTCCCGTTGGTGTCTATCGTTAAAAATGATTAATTGGTAGCTCTATTCATGGAGCTTACTGTTTCTAATCATTCACTAAAAGCCAAGACAAAACATATTGTTATAAACACAATTTGTTTATATTTCAATTTGTTTTTTTTTTATCTTTAGTGTTGTGCATAGTTCTATTCTTTAAAACATTTTTAATTTGCATTTTAATAAATGTTAATTTTTTCGTCTTCAATAAAAACCAGCATGAAATAATGTCATTGAACAACATCATCAAATACTGCTTCATCAAAACAGCAACTGCAGTTTGCCAAAAACAGGTTAATTGTTTTCCTGTTTTGAAAATTTTTTTCTTTTCTATTATATTTACTTATCTATTATATTTTTCTTTTAGACACCATGTGACGTATTTATGCGATACAGGAGAACACAAATAATAATTATGTTTTGTTATTAAATAATAAAGTTTTGTTAAAAAAAATATTATTAAATAAATTTGTTATTTTTTAATAAACGGAAGGGTCGGATTTTAGAAGCATGAAATATTTGAAAATTTCTGTTTAAAATGTATTTTTCATCTTTGACGGAGAGACCTTTATGTAATTAACTAAAATTTAATTATGCGCACATTAAACGCTTTGAAGTTAAATGGAACTGTTTTTTTTCCTTAATAAAGGAGAGGGGGTTACCAAAAAATTAATAAGTGTCCCGTTAGACATTAGAAGTTAACATTTATATAAGTATTATAATAAAAATTTTTAACTGCTCCAAAAAAAATACAGATGTTAAGGAAAATTTCTACTAAATGATAAAAAAAACGCCTTCACTCTAAAAGAAATAATATATCCAAAAAAAAAAATAGTTTTTGTCTTATTTAACAGTAACTCCCTTATGTTAATAGACATTTCTCTAATTCGATTGCGCAACCATTTACTCATCATGAAAAAGAGGCCAGTAAGGACAAAAATGTAAACAAATAGCGAAAAACTGCTTTAGTAATATTTTTAAATAAGTTAATTATCTAATAAATAATGTATGGATTTAATAGCGACTGCCTTAAAAATAAAATAATTTAGTATCTAATATTGGAATATATAAACAGAAATAGTAAAATAGAAAAAATTTAAATTTGAAAAAATGTGTATCTTTAAAAGAAGATATGTACAATCTATTTACAAAATATGTAAAACCTATTGCGTTTCTCCCTGTGTTCACAAGACACAAGTTCACAATTAATAGTTATATGGACAAACGTTAAATGAAAAAAAAAATTTAAAAAACTTAAATAATATATAATAAAAATTTTTTGAAACTGGATTGTTAGCTCAACTATGCAACCACTAGCAACTCCGGATGAACTTGTTAACAAGTCTATCTGGACTTGCACCAAGCCAGTGGTCTTTTAGTCATTTTAAAATTGATTTAAAGGTATATTAAATTAAAATAATTGTTCTTACACTAAAATAAATGAATTTTCCTCACACTAAGAGAAATGCAAACCTTAAAAGAAAATGATTTAGTCAAACAATAAATAGTTTATACTGGTTCATTACCTACAGGAGAAGTATTTCTTTAAAAACATCACTCATTTGGCTATTATCCACAAGTCAAAAATGAACTTATCTGGACTAATGTTTTTTAATAGTTTATGCTTATAACAAAATTATTATTGCAAACACTGACTTTGATTAATGCTAGTTTTTAGATATTACTGATAAACTTTTTTTAATAAAAAATATATTTTATCGTGCTTAATAATAAATATTATATTTCTTATATTTTTACTGTTTTGGTATAAGAACTGTTTCATAAAGTTTACATAAGTTTACCAAATTTGATTAGTTGATCCATATAAAACATTTTTTTTCATTTCATAAAACATTTCCTTTCGTTCTTGCTTTTTTTAATTATTTGTTGTATGGCACATTCCAAATTTTTATGCTGTTATTGGTGCTATTGTTGTTGACTTTCTATAACCTCTTCGTTCATTTAAAAAGGCAAGAATGTTTAGTGTTACATCTAAATGCTTCCAATTCCCTTTAACAGGTAAAAGCAGAAAAGGACATTTTTTGCTAAAATGATTAGTTTACTTTTCTTTGCTTACTTTAACATTTTACTCTAAAATTGAAGATGGTGCATATTGTCTTCCATGTACACTTTTTGGTACAAACATACCAAGCAAATATGCATTATGTAAATTGTTTAAATAACCATTCAATACCTGACGTAATGCTATAAAAGATTTAAACAATCATGAGAAAACTGTTGACAGATTACATATCAATCCATACATTGTTATAATATGCTTTTATCTAGAACTAAAATTAACACTTTTCCTATTAAAGTTTTTCAAGATATTTCTAGGAAGTAGCATATAGAAGAAAACAAAAAAAAATCTTGAATCAATTGTTAAGATTAATATTTTTAGATCGAAATGATATACCTCTACAATGTCATAGAGACGATAGAAAATATCAAGGAGAAATTGGAGAAACTTCTAATATTACAGGGATGGGTAATTTTATTAAGCTTTTAAACTTTAGAATTGATGCAAGTGATTTAATTCTAAAGGAATCTTCTCTATGCTCCCAAAAATTCTACACACATTTCAAAGACCATTCAAAACGAGTTAATTAAATGTTGTGGAAATGCAAATGAAGAAATTCTATTAAATGATATTAAATAAAGTAAGAACTTTTCCATTATTGCACATTAGGCTTCAGACTGTGCAACAATAGAACAACTTTCTATTGTCGTACGTTATGTAGACTTGAACAGCTATATTAAGGAAGTTTTTTTACGTTTTTTGAATGCAAAACAGGAACAAGTGGTTTAAACATAGCTACCAACATTCTTGAAATTTTAAAATAATTTGATTTAGATATAAGAAAATGCAGAGGCCAGTATTATGATGGAGCTGCATCAATGTCAGTTTAATACAAAGGTGTTTTATCGCTTTTAAAAAATGTTAATTCTAATGCATTATTTGTGTCTCACATAAACTTAGTTTAGTTGTTGGGAAAAGTTGCTAAATCAAGTGAAAAGTTTGCTTTAAAGCAAGTTAAAGTCTTATATTTTGAACTTTTCTCCTAAAAGATATAATTGCTTAAATAAAAACTTTCTTCCTGGTCAAGCAAAACTTATTGACACATGTCAAACTCGGTGGGTACAAAAGCTTCGTGGACTTGGTTTTTTGATAATTATTCTACAGTTTTTTTTTTTGCTCGTGTTTGATAAATATCTTCTTTTGAAAATAACTTCAAATAAATTCCATTTATCTTGGCTTTACAAAAGGAGTACATTAAATTAACATCTAAAATCTGCCCAGTAGTTATTTGTTTTAGACTTTCTTGACATACTACTCTTTTAACAGTCCCACTAATACCATCACAGGGGGATTTACCATGACTGGTAGTAAAAAATACCCATTCCGCATTTAAATCAAAGTCTTTACTATGATGACAAAGATTGATAAAATTTTTAAAATTTTTAAATTGTGCTGCACAACCATCAGAAAAGTATTTCACACTTGATACATCAGGTAGATTTTCTTTGATATATCTAGTTATATCTTCCTGAGTCTTGTAAATAAATCCTGCGTCGTGATCAACATCTTCTGAAAGGTAACAAAAAGACTTATGTTTGAGAAGTTTGTTCTCTATAAAATAAAGTACAACTGTATAAAGTGACTTTTGCTCCAGTGATAACTTTTAACATATTGATAGTTTTAAGCAAAACCTCCTAAAATTAAGCATTCGTTTTGGTTAGGATTTTCTTTACAGTTTTTTAAGTATCTACTTTGTGTTTTTGCAATATATGAATGAGTGGTAAGGTTGTCAATACTGTCACATAATAAATCAATAAATTCATCTAGTGGCAATGACTGTGAAAATAGAATTGTACGATCTGTACTCTGCCATTGCTTAAATACTACATCTTCTTCATGCTCATGGTCCATAAACTCCTGCACTAAAAAACTTTTTAACGCTTCAATACCAGGACATTGGTTACATCGATGCAACATAAATTCTGCATTTTCAAGAGAGCAAACAATCAATGCCATGAAATCTTTTAACTTTTGAGAAAATTTGTATTTTGGTGATGTATGCAAACACATACATTGTGGGTACCTGACGCATTAGTTGTAATACACCATTTAGGTTTAAGAGTACAAAACTTTGACAAACTGACTTTGACGTTAGGGTAGTCTTTTTTAAATGCAACATGTAATTCATTAAAATTGAGTACCAATAATCTTTTTTGAACATGTTGGTTTTTCTTAATACTTACATAATCTTTTTTTCCTGGCATCATTCTTGAAAATTCATCACTTTGATAAAAGTTAATCACAAAATTAACTGTTTCTGGTGAAAGTGGGTTTCCAGTTTTTTTCCCGGGTAATGATGGAATTCCATTCTCATTTTTAACTTTTCTTGCTGTTCGAACAAGATACTCAGACACTTCAAAGTAGCTTGATATCTTTTTACGTGTCCATGATTTTGGTGCGAGTGTTAACATTTGCACCTTATGGCGATAAGAGTCAGTCTCTGAAATTTTATTTTTTATTTCATACATTAAAATGTCTAGATCATGGTCATTGTTAATGTTGTTGTTTAAAATGGGGCTTTTTATTTCTGTTGTTAAAAAAGTTTCTTTAATATTATATGCTAATGAGACCATTTTTGCAACTCTGTCAATAGTGTTCTCAAACTTTTGTTTTACTACAGGCAATTTGCTGTGTTTTGAAAGACTTTTTAGTTTGACCAGTGAGATTCCAAGCAATTCTATAGTGGTATCTAACTTAATTTTTTTCTCACTTTTTGATTACCATTCCTCCTGTGAATTTAAATCTTCATCAGTTTCTATTGCTTTTTTACATTTACTGCAGAATTTCCAGCCTGGGGTCACATAAACATTATTTTTTTGCAAATAGTTTGCCATGTCTATGGAAATCTTTATATTACCTAAAAAACAAATTTAGTTTTACGTTGTTAAAATAACTGAAATTATAAAACTTTTTATAAATAATAAATTGTTTTCTTTTAATTTCCATATCAATTCTGTTGTAAATAAGGTAAAATTACCTTTAATAGCAATTTATTTACATTCCTTGTGTGTTCCAAAAGGATTGCAACACTTTGTAATCTTTCTCTCAAAATATTTTCCATAGAATTGCTCATGATAACAACATATAATTCTTATTGAACTATATTTTTCCTTTAAATTTGCTCGCCATATTATTTCTTCTTGTTTTTCACAAGGAAGATCTTTATATTGAACAAAACCTTGTTTTCTTGAAAATCCAGTTTTGTGGCAATGAATGTTAAGACTTTTTCCAATGTCTTATTTCTCCATATTAATTATTTTTATTATTTATTACCTAACAAGATAATATAAAAACTATAAAATTAAAAGTAATTCTTTAACAAAAATACAAATAAGTAAATACCTTTAAAAAGAACAAAACAAAACTTATGTTTGTTTTTTATATAAAA